AAAAGAGGCAATTGGAATTCTTTTTCTCAACAAGCCAAATCTATGTTTGCGTTTGAAAGAAATTTGTACAGTCCCTTTCTTTACCATGGTCAACTATATGATATGTATTAAGTTTTTGTTAACGATTTCTCCCTTCCCCTTGTAACTATCTTTTGACTTTGTTAATTGTTACAATTTTTACAATTCTAGATAGTTTCATTAACTTGTGTGCAGTTTCCTGAACTCTTCTTAGTCATCACCTCTCTTCTAAAACTTAGATACCTTGTTACTAACTAACTAAGTTTTGGAGGAGGTAGGAATGAAATTTAGTCACGGAATTCAAGATAGGTTGATTCTTAGGCGTTAGCGGCGAGTTATTACATAATCAAGAAATTTGTAAAATAGCAATGATGACTAAGAAGAACAAGATAACTCAGAAGAGTTACGTAAAACACGAACAGGTTAACAGAATTGGCTAGAATTGTAAAAATTAACAAAGTCAAACGATAGTTACAAGCGAAGGGGAAAATCGTTTTTAAAAACTTAATATATATTATGTAGTTGGCCATAGCAAAGAAAGTAGCTGTACAAATTTCGTTTAAAATGACTCACAGATTTGGCTCGTTCAGATGAATCTTTTCTGACTGGTTTATCCATATAAATCTGGTTTGTTTGTAGTTGGTGCAATTTTGTTTTCCCTTGTCTTGAGAATTCGGGATATTTTACTAGTTCCACTGTTACCTTATTGTATATTATATATTAATGATTTAATAATTCCCATTGTAGCCTTAAGACCACAATATTCAGCGAATAAACTCTTTTCAACGAATTTATTATCAAGCTGTACAATTGTATATATATGGTTTTTGTTAAGAAATGATATCTAGTGAGGGAATTAGGTCAAAGGTGTGAATACATGAAATAATAATAGTATGAAATGCAATTAAAATATTCGTGATTGTAATCATGGTTCAGTGTCAAGTGGCAAAATAATTAATGTCATATATAGAATAATACATAAGGTGTATAGATTTTGGAAAGAGGTACATAATTATAAGATTAATAGACGAATATAAAATGTTACATAACATGGTGTGAAATTTGATAAGATATAGTTCAATATTGCAACAATAAAAAATATACAAATTAATAATTTTGGGTTTAAAATGCCAAGTGGGTCAAGTGGAAAAGATTCAGAGTGAGAATAGCAATAATAATAATCGAAGTAATTAGGGAAAAGTACATAGAATAACTAAATAAATAAATAAATGTCAATCCCTCTACGGCCAAGGCAGAAGTACGGATTGTACATACTTCTTTTGTACAAAAAGATCTGGCTTAAAGTCATGAATTGCCAAGGTCTCAGCTGTCTTTAGAAGTCTGTAAGGAAGAAAACGCGGGAAGTTAGCGTGGATTCTATATATGATCTTGAAATCATCGTCAGGGTTGACCGAGTGACAAAAGTCGATCAGGTATTCCAGAATAGAGCTTCGCACACACTTCCTTTCTCCCTTGTAAAACCAAACTGGAATATGTTCTCGTACCGTGTGGAAAGCGTCCTCTGACTACGGCCAATGTACCTTGCTCAACAAGAGCAGGTGAACTGGTAGATGCACATGTAGGCGGCCAGACGGGGGAGCTTATCTTTTACAGAGGTAGAGAACAATTTGCGGCTCGTGAACGTCATATGCAATTCTGCTGCAAAGAACGTCTTACTGACTGATTTAGAGAGACGATTTTTAAGCATATCTGAAGCTTGATCACCTTTGAATTCCAATTTCATGAATAAGGTTTTCTTTGGAACTGAGTGGGTGACCACTTTAGACTGCTTTGCATCGAATCATTTTCTTTTTCACCATTCTTCTCTCCTCTATTAGCTCTCAAGGGTCCATTGAGAGCCATTCCTTGTCTTGTCTCTTCTTTCTTCCTAAAACCGTTGAACACGTTTCGTTGAAAATCACCTTCAGAGAGTTCCAGTGGTCTTCCACGCATGATTCTTCAGTGATGTCACATAGTGTTTCCTGGTTTGCTCTGACAGTTGCAGTGAAAGTGTCCTTTGTGGTAGTGTTTTTCAGTAATTGAGTGTTGAACTTGCATTGTGGCCTATCTCCAACTATCTTCAAGGCTTTTAGTTTCACCTTGAAAGTCCCTTCTACTAGATAGTGGTCTAAATCCACATCTGCTCCTCTCCTCGACCTTGTGTCCAGTAGGCTCCGTCTCCACTTTCTTGAAATTGAGATGAAGTCTATTTGATTCTTGGTGTTTCCATCTGGTGAAATCCATGTCGTCTTGTGTATATCCTTGTGTTTGAACACACTACCGCCAATCACCAAATCATTGAAGGCGCAGAAGTCTGAGAAGAGTTCACGATTGTCGTTCATTTCACCGAGGGCCTCACGACCCATGATGAGTTCTCTTCCTGTATTGTCTCCTCTCAGCTTCGCATTCACATCACCCATCAGGATTTTGATATCACCGTTTGGGACGTTGTCCATTACTGCTTGTAGTTGTCTGTAGAACACCTCCTTCTCTTGTTCTGAGACGTTTGTAGGCGCATAGCATTGGATGATTGTGACATTCCTTCCTTTTGAGTTGAACCTGGCTGTCATTATCCTGGAGGAGATTGGTTCCCACTGCATGAGAGCTTTGGCTGCTGTTGGTGACATCATGATGGCCACTCCCTCGGTGTGCTCGTGGTTATCCTCTGGGTGACCGGAATAGATTATTGTCTCTCCAGTTGGTAGTTGGCACCTTCCAGTTCCGTTCCATCTGCTTTCGCAGATTCCCAACACTTCTATTCTGTACCTTCTCATTTCAACGGCTACCTGGGCAGCCTTTCCAGTTTCGTACATTGTACGAACATTTCACGTCCCGATACTTATTTTAGCTTTCATCGAAAGAAGGCACATCGGCTGACTGGCTTCCCGAAGGCTTTCGCCAGCCTGCGTCATTTCTTTTTCCCGATTCCAGCGAAAAATAAGGTTATTGTCTATATTCTTAGTGTTTTAATATTTTTGTGCGTTGACGTTTCTGTAGCAATTTGGTTAAGTTTTGGGGGTGGAGTTGCCAGCACCACGCCCCAACTCTCTCTCTTTATTCGGGCTTGGGACCGGCTAGAGAACTAGCGAGGTTGTAATCTAGGCGAGGTTAATGTCACTATCAGAGATAACGTAATTTCTCAGATGCTAAACCAGCCTATTGTATCCATTTTCAAAATTCATGTATTATGAGTTCATTTTCTCTGATGCAACCTTCCAAATGAGTTAACTGTTCAGTAAACTCAACTAATTTACTTCCTACCTTTAGTCTATAGTCACTTTTGAGTAGATCCCATCGTCTTGCCACATAATTTTTTTTAAAATTTCAAAACTAAGCAAGCACTGAACTTCTTTCCATCACAAGTACCCAGTGTCTAAGGTTTCGTAATGTTGGTGTTAGGGGTTCAGTAAAACTTAATCTGTGGTTTTTGTCTGATACTATTCGTTGCAAGCTGTATTTCATGTAATTTTTAGTCAGTCATAGTGACTCAAATGTATTCATATTTCACTCCCACTTTAATTTTTTGGTATCTTATTTCCTTACCCACTCTTTCTCTTAGTTCCTCGACGTTCATTCTCTCTAATTGATATCTTTCATCTTTGTCTTTTCGCACATTACTTTCTACTCGATGATCAGGTGATATGAAATGTGTTCAGCATTATCTACTAATGTTAGATCAGCTATTCGTAGGTACTGCTATTTCCATATTGTACGAGATTTTCATGTAGTGGGTTGTTTAATTAGTGAATGGTTTTGTTGATTACTTCACTTTATTAGTAATAAATATGACGTCTATTTAAAAAGCTTACAGTTCACTTTCGCAGTGCAGAAGGTTAAGCAGTTATAAGTCTTCAATTTTTACTTAAAATGTTTGCACAAATCAATATAAAATGTGATGTCGTTATCACTAGAAACAAACGGGTCATTGACTGGATACATGGATACACAAGGCTCGCTTGGCACTTGTCAACGTACACCGTCTCTAGCGTAGATGTGATATCCGACTGTCGACCAAAGGACGTGTATGCTACCCAGCAGTTTGTGCCATCCTCCTTTACGGCTTTGGAACAAGGTCACTGAAGTGGAAAGACATGAAAAGGGTAGCCGTCTTCACTCATAGTTGCCTGTGTTCTGTCTTTCGTGTTAGGTTGCATCATAGGGTAAATATTATCGAGGTTAAGCGTCGAGTGCTAGGTAAGGAGAGAAAGTCGATCGACGAGGCTGTGAAGTTACACCAATTGAGATGGTTAGGACCTGCGTTACTCACGCATGCCTAGCCATCGCCTTCTTTGGCAGGCATTGTTAGCTGACATAGCGTCAGGTTGGAAGAGAGTCAGTGGTGGTCAAACCAAATCATGGCTTCATCAGTCAATGAAATTCACAACAGTTAGTTTAAGTTATGTAGGGTGGTGTAGACTTCCTGGTTAGGGTCCTCAGGATGGTAAAAACCAATGACTGCAGACAATCGGAGTTGTGACTCAAAATCGTTCTCAGTGGTGCAAATGAATTCACTCTTGGTGATTTGTCATATCCAATAAACCTCTGTTGTTCTACCATGATACCGTTCTTTTTGTCTCACAATTTTGTTTATTATCTCTCTTTTGAACCTCCCTTTACTCTCTTCTCATGCTTTGTGTGCTCTATGGAGATGTGAACACATCTTCGAGTTATCGTTAGTAGACTAATTCAATAAAATTATATAATATTTCAGTAATGAAGTTGGTGGGGAAGGAACAGTAGGTATTATTTTTTTGCTTATATTTATTTATTTTATATTTTAAGTGAAATGATGAAAAGTGTCAAAGACCACCAATATTGGTTTGTTACACTAGTATTTGATTAAACCAATGCAAGTGTTATTTGACATTTCAAGCTTATATGAATCATTGTCCATTTTAAACCGTAGATAATAATATGATTTATGTAAAAATAACGTAGGGGAAATAAACAAATCTTCATTCTAGAACGTTTTATTGTAGTTGGCGTTATCCAACAGAGATGTGAATGCTTCGTCACTGTAGTACATCTTCGTTGAATAAGTTCTGTTGACAAAGTCAGAAATTTGACCATTTTTTGTTGTTGATTGATTTGATGTCAAAATGCATCATATCTGATTGCTCTTTTATGTATAAATTTATATCTGATCGAATTCATGTAATCGTGAACATCAACTGCTGATTTCTTTACCTATCGTAACTTTGTTGGATTGTATAAGTTTTTACAGCAGTCTTTGTTATTTCAGTAATGTTATCGGTGACAGGCAAACATTTTCAACATTGACTGTAGCATAAATGCAATACAGTTCAAGCTGTCACACTTTACTTCAGCACATCAAGTTGCTATGTCATAGAAGGGAAACAAGTCAATGGAAAAAATATTACAATTCGTAGAATTCCATTGGCAAATAAGACAGATAAAGCTAAGCAAGTGATGATGTATGGTGTGACTACTTAGATGAAAGGGGCAGATGGATGCAAATGTCCCTCTGAGTAAGGTTCTTAGAGTTACTATTATTATTATTCTCTAGTCATCGCTTTCATTTTCGGCAGTTTACAGTTATCCACATATCTCATAACTAACGATGAAAGACTTTTCAGACTGGTGTTATTTCTTGACCCAACTACTCTTAACTATTTAATCAGTTTATATTTCGCTTTTGAACAGGTAGTGATTTAGACGTGAGCATAACAACTTGAAATTTCAAAGTAGCACACAGGGAAGGCATATACAGAGAGTTAACACGTCTTTATTCTTCACGATTTTTCTGCATTTTACGCTTAAATGTGTACTTGTATAACCACTGGTTGGTAATAATCACGCTTCCCTATGAAGTTAACACAATGAATATCGCCCATTGCTAAATGCATATGATCGATGAATCAAATCCTTCTTTTTCATTGGGTGTATGTACTATTTCCAATTTGGTTTTAGAAGTAAACCAGTTAACTAAAACAGTTGTGTGTCATAAAATTAGTTTACTTTTATTTTTATAATATTGACCGTAGATTGGAATATTGAATTCCTATTGGTTTGTTTTCAATAAAACTTGTCTCATGTGTTCTATTTTCATTGGTTTACAGGAAATATTTATATACTTCATTCGTTGGATAAGTTGACCAATCGTTTTATGGTATTATATATATATATTCCTCGAGTGTACACGTTTCTTTTTCATTCAGATTTCTGTAAATGTCAATGGTGGATAAAGGACTTGTATTAGTAACCGGCGGTTCTGGTTTCATTGGTAGTCATACAATTGTGGAACTTATTAATGACGGTTATGACGTCATTACACTGGACAATTTGAGTAATTCAAACCAAAGTAAGATTTCCTTTGCATTGCATCCATTTTATAAAAAATATTTTATTCCATATATTGTGATGAATGCGTTAAATGTTGAATAATAAACACTAGAATAAACCTTTCTGTGCTGATTAGTTTATTAACTTGATTTAGTGATAGATAACTGTCTGAACATCATGTTATTTGATTAAGGCTTGAGCAGTTATACTATATTATGTACATTAAAAAAAACAGCATATTTTGACATTACTGCTATTGTCTCAGTTTATACTTCATTTATTATCCAACTTATTTCACTATCCTTAAGCGTGTTGTTCAATAAGTGTATTTTCAGTTTCCGTTTTTCATGTGAAAGACGACATTTAACCCTCTCAGGTTGAGGGCTGGAAACTTTCTATTTTAAAAGCTATAAAAATTGACATTAAGACAAATGTTTTTTTTTTGTAAGTATTAAATTTACTACCACTTTTCCAATGGTTTTGTTATATCGTCAAATATTAGGAGATCTATGTCTCCGATCCCCTACTGAATAAATATTAACATTTCAGGCCTTCGTAGTGTTGTTCCACTTAGCCAAGTATTTTACATATTGTCAACTTTTGGTTTGCATGGATTTGATCGACTTCAGGATTTCGTCATGAGCTGATATCGGTTAGAGAACCATTGGAAAACTAGCTGGGAGTACTAGACAGCTGTTTCGTCAGCCTAGTTCGGGACCCTGCTTCAGCAGTATGCACACATGACCTTCTGGCTACAAGGTGATCTCGTAGATCATTAAGCCACTGGGACCCGATCCAATGTCCAGCCCATGGATTCCAACTCCTGCCAATTCGTGATATATTTAACACAACCGCCAGCCTATGTCACTGGTGAGTAACTGTCCTCTTGCCTGATTTGGTGGACCCCACCGGTTAGAACTTCTTACATGTGTTTGATGGATACTGATGAGTTAGTGAAATCTAACTCTTAAAGCTCGGAGCATTTCATTCAAATACACATATTTTTCACACAAAAACTAATCCGTTGTCTTTAATATCGACACACATTCTACCCTACATCTTACCTCTCAAATATTGGCCATTATATATTAGGTGGAAGTGTTGTTGAATATCTGAAGAAATTGTACTCATTACACTTTAGTTCTGCTGTAATGTCAGATAAAATAAAATATTTTGGTTAATTCAGTTACCTTGAAACATTAGTAGGTTGTTTTGTGTGAATCTGTCAATAAAGAGGTCACTAGAAATGTTTAGTTTATTTTTACTTTTCTATGATGATAATAGTTTGTATATTAAAATGTATTCTTCACCTTTTTTAATAAGGTGAAAAAAAAAAACATAATAAAAATAGTCCATTGTACTTCTGTAGATTTTGTTCAGCATAAACAGAAATTTTTAAATTAATCAGCCAATGGAATTAGTGATATTAGTTATCGATTAGTAAAGATATTATTCATGTTGCACTTCCCAATGTTTAATTATAGTAACTTACGGTTACCTTATTATACAAGTATGTGAAGTGAAAAAAAATGTGTACTGTGTAAATTTCATTTGAATTATTGCATTCAGAACTTACTGAGACAAAAACCAGTGTGAAATAATTTCAGTCTATTGAATTACAAAAAAAGCGTATTCAGCGCCATCACATAATAGAGTGAAAACCAACTTGTTTCTCCAAATGAAGTCAAATGTTGAGCTAACCCAAGGTAATAAATAATGACGATATAATGGGGTTTATTAAGATATATTTATGATTGGTTGGAGGATTTCATCATGAGTTGACATCGGTTAGAGAACCATTGGAAAACCTGAAGGGAGTCCTGGACAGCTGTTTCGTACTCGTTCGGGACTCTTCAGTGGTACGCACCCACCACCCGGGTTCGAACCCAGGATATTCTGGTTACAAGGCGAGCTCGTAGATTACTAAGTCATTGGGACCAGACCCAGTGGCCAGCCCATGAATTCTAACTTCTACCAATTCATGAGTTAAATATGTAACAGCTTGTAATCTTGAGAATAACACTGAGAAAGAGGTAAATGAGGATGTTATCTGAACAAAATACAAATTCGTATACTTCCATTATGGGTAAATTTTGTTTTGATAAAGTCTCACAGTGTTGTACAGTAATGTTTACTATAAACATTATCAATATCAAAACAAAATTTACCCATAATGGAATTACACTCTACCACAGTACACAAGTTTTATTCTTATAACAAATTCGTACAGACAATAATTACACACTATATTCGAAGCAGGCTCGTGTCTGATTTCTGTTACTTCTTCGATTGTCTTTAACTTGTTAACTCTTTACTTGTTGGCTACGTTCATATTGATATCTTAAGAAGCATTTGACATGTGCTTGTCATGAAAGCTTTATTCTCATCAATGTTATCGGCGTATGCTAACAGCTTTGAATTAAAACAAAGCAGATGTACAACGCTTCCTGCTTGCTCTTCAATGGCTTTCTAGCTGATCTCATTCTGCGACAAAATCTCTCCTTTGAAACAACTCATGAAACTCATAGAGATAAAACACTTGATGAGGCATAGTTATTTTTACCACTACTGTAGTAAGATTTATAAACTGTTCACTTCATCATACAAATGAATCTGCATATTTTGATAGGATTCCTTTAAACTGCAGTAGGGGAAACCGAAAGATTACTGAAGTTTTTGATAACCGTGATATTTAAAGAGTAACTGAGGTTCCATCAAATTCTGTTATAATGAGAAAATTACTGATGTAATACAAGTTCTTAATTTTATCAGTAGTCTCTAGTGAAAAGAAACGAGATGGTTGTAATTTTGTTGCTAGTGAATGTATTATAGTCTTCTATTTGATATCTGCAATGCTTTTTGAAGTTCTGTAAGGTTTTTAACATTTCCAAATCATAACGAAGATACATTTGAATTTAGTCATCCTATGTATGAGGAGCATGAGGCTAGCAACTCCATCCTGTAAAATAAACACTGCTACAGAAACTTCAAGCCACTAGCTTGAAGCCCTATGTTCCACTGGAGAACGTGAAGGAAAACAATGTATGAGCATGAAAGAAAAGATGTTATTCTCCTTCACTATTCGTACCTTCACTTCAGCTTATGAAACAGATGCTATTTGTTAATTTTGACATTACCCAGATTTAGTTATGTGTGTGTGTGTGGCGGGGGGGGGGAGGAGAAAAACATTCGGTTTCTCTCACTGTAGAGTTTTTGTGAAGACATGTAGTATTCTCTTAATTCATACTACTTATAATTTCTACCTGACTGTCTAGGTGAAGTCCAATGAATTGGCACGATGTAGTAACATCAAACATGGTTCTAATTCGAAAAGCCTAATGTACGAAATATGAAGTGCGAAAAGTTCCTGCAAGAAGCTTGTATTTCTTTGTAGTAGGCGATTTTGCCTGTTCAATGTATTCAGAGCAGTTTTTATGCTTCACTTACTCTCTTCTTTACACCTTAGTGCATCAAAATGTCTCCTCTTTGAAAATTCAGACTAATAAAGGATATATGTCCTAGTTCATTCATCATTTTCTTTTGACTGGCATTGAAATACTGTAGAAAATGATTAAAATTGAAAGCTCGGTTGCATATACTTTTTGAAATATTTTTTTTATATCCTCGTTCCTTCTTGATGTTACTGCGTGATTAAATCTACAATGAAATTAATCTGCACCTCTACAAAAATTCGTAATCTGAATACCAAAATTTATGCTTAAAAATCAACAGTAAATCATTTGGGAAACCCTATTTAGTTGTAATTAAGTTCCCTTTCTGTGCTTATAGTGTTTTCTCTTTCTCATTTTCAGATTGCATACAACGCATTGAACTAATCACTGGAAAAAAGCTTCCTTTTTATAAAGTAAACCTGTTGGACAAGGAAACGTTGAATGATATCTTCGAAAAAGTACGTCCTTCATAGATTTATACTTATATATTGTTGATCCACTATATAATATATATATATATATATCCATTTAAGACGTTTAATCAAGTGGTCATTATCTTGTTAATCTTTTATTGCAAGACAAGAAGGTGTGTACGAGTCTAATTGCTTGCTAAAATTTATATTCATATCCACAAGCTTCATAGTATGCATTGTACACTCGATGGTTGGACTTTTGATATTCGTATACTTTCTTTTATGTTTTCCGTGTAAACTAGTTTTATGAAGATTAGGCTTTAAGAAATAAGTTATTTCTGAAAGTTATAAATTGTTATTATCGGAAATATATGACTTTTGTCAATAGTTTGTGCTGATGAAGAGCTCCAAACTAGGACGAAACAGCTGTCCAATACTCCATGTAGGTTTTCCAGTGGTTCTCTAACTGATGTCAGCTCATGGTGAAATCCTCCAACCAATCAAACAAAATCCCCTACAAAACTAATACTTGGAAATCATTAAATTTGTTAAGGCGTATTGGTCAGTAAACTAGATTACTTACCAGCTAACTAAACAGCATTGAATTAACTCTGCTTGAACACATTTCAGACCAGTCAAAGATTGGCGACTGAATACATAAATCTATGAAGATAGTGGGCTATAGTTTTTTTCACGAAATTCTGACTACATCTACCTAGTAAGGCCTAGCCATGAGGTGTTGATGCAGAACGAGAAGGGTGAATGTGAATCTGTAGTGTTCGTCTCCTGATCGAGCGGACACTTGAGGTTCATTCTGATTCAAAACAATCAATGCACATAAACTCTACAATCAGAAGAAGATAAATGGTACATACGCCTCTTTTGGACATGAGCAGCGCTGGTATTGCAGCTGATAACAATACTCTGTTATTTCGGAATCAGACCTGAAGTCTAAGGCTCAGATAGTCTTTTTCTTATGCACTGAAATCTCCTGATCCATGTATCAGTACTCAATTGTAAATTAGTTTTTGTTTATCTCAAATAAAGGCGTTAAAAATCCAATAATAATAACAATAATAATCATGAATAATAAAGGTTATTATAATTGCTAACATATTCCACTTGCCCTCAATGTTTCATTATAAACTTTATTTCTCTAATCTCTCTTTTTTTAACAATGCATTATCTGCAGGCCTTATTTAATTCATCAGTAAATCAATGTTGTATTTGTTAGTTACGAAAATTACTAAAATATTCTTTTGGTTATTAATCAATAGGAATAAAGCAAGATATTAAATAGCTTATATATATATATATATATATATATATAGTGCTCCTATTGATTTTTTTAAATAAACAATAAGTGTTAGCGTTTTAAGTACGTACACTTATACAATGATTATCTAATAACTATGCTTTTTGAAACTTCTAACAGAAAATATTAATCACATTTCCCTTACTTGTGAAGCCGCATAATCCCTAATCGATTGATTGTTGACGAAATCTCAAGATGGATACAAAAGGCTCGTGTGCTTATTGCCGACTTACATCATTTTTGCCGTAGACGTGATATTCAGCTATCCATCAAATGACGTGTGCACTTCGCAGCTGTTTGCTCTGTCCTTCTTTGTGTCTGTGAAACATGGCCATCGAAAGTGGAAGATATCAATAAGCCGGCTCTGTTTGACCACAAGTCTTTACGTTCTGTCTTCCGTATTAAATCGTATAATATGGTGAGCAATAGTCAGGTTAGGTGCAGAGTGCTAGATAAGAAAGGGAAGCCAACCGATGGTGTTGTAAAGTCATATCGATCGAGATGACTAGGACACGTGTTGCGCCTCCTGAACTACTGTCTTCCTTGATGGGCAATTTTAGCTAGCTGACATAGGATTGGGCTGGAAAACAATTAGGGGTGATAGACGAAAACGTGGGATCAGTCCATGAAGTCTTTGACAGTTGGGGATAACAGGAGTAGGCTGCCTGTTTGGGGTCCTCGGAATTCGAAGAACTAATGGCTAGGGACTATTGGTGATGTGGCTCAAAATCTTTCTCAATAGCGCAGATGCATTCAGTCTTTGTGGTTGCTCATATTGACCGAACCGTCGTGTTTTTCCAAGTCACTTTTCTTCTCCCCGTACATTCCTGCTTATTATAGTTCTTCTGAATCTCTTTTGTTTTCATTTTTATGCCACAAAGGAGTGTGACGACTTAAACTGCTGCTCAAAGTTCTATGTTGAGACTTTATCGTTCTAGTGAAAATGTAACACAGACCCAGGTAGCGATATCATTCGTATCATTAGTTGCTTTTGTGTTTCAGGACGCAAGCTGTATTGACGAGGAACTTGTTGAAATTTTGTTCTGACCTAGGTTTCTCTCTGCATTGTAATTGTTACTTCACCCACTACTTGGAATGTTTCAACAATAGCTAAGTGTATTCAATGTTAATTTGCAGTAGGCACTATTGGTCGGATTACAATTACTGTGTAAAATGGGAGGTGTATATGAGTCATAGTTGAGGTCTTATAGCTCGTTTGAAACACTCCTGGTAAGAACACTACTGTCACCACAGTAAAGCGACTGAATGTATGTAGTGCTTTTGATCACAGAGGTCCTATTTCAGGTCTCGAGTTGCCAATAATTCGGCTATGTACAGATAGCGTATTCGAAGTTTTTGGATGAGATATTGAAGAACTTTGTTTTACTGTAAAGCAGTCATGCTGGATTACACGATATTCACAGTTGACGAGATGTGCGAGGATAGAACTCCCAGTTTTCTTCTCTTCTCCTCTGGTGAGCTAGTTTGGATAGTGTTCCAGAATACGTTTGAAGTATTGACGTTGTGTACGGTCTACATACTTTGCTGCACAGGAATGAGCAAACTGAATAATACATACTGAGATGAGCAAGAGAGTTATCTTATCCTTAATGGTTGACTGGTTTAACTGTCTGCTGAAGAATGTATTTCATAAGGTGGCTACCTAAAATGTCTCCTTCAAACCTTTGGGAAGGCGGTTTATAAGGATCTCTGCTTCAGTGTCATTTTTGAACTATAAATTCATAAATACAGGTTCCTTAGGAACAGTTGCAATTATCGGCGATAGAGGCTTTGATTTCCCGTTTTTGTTGATAAATCTGGATGTATATCTCTCCTCCAGTAGGGTGTCACGTAATTTTGATTAAAATCCTATCGTATCTTCAGAGCATATTTTTCGAATCCTTGAAAATAAGGTAAGTACTAAGTTTTGCTTTGGGATCATTGGTACGAAACTCTGGAAATTAATAAACTGTCAAGTCAATGTGGATTTGCTGTATAGTTATCTTTGGATTGAGTTGTTTTGTCCTCTAGGGTGTAGCATATCCGTGAATAGAAACGGTATGTTTGATTCACGTTCTAGAGTGAATCTATTGATGGCTGTGTTGGAGAAATTGCCTAGATCACATTTTTCATCACAAGTTATAAAAGCATCATCTACGAATCTTTTGTACAGGTCAATCGACTATTTTATGTAAACACTTTAACGCCTTTCTACTAGATTTTTTTCCATTTCATATAATTATATTGACTAGTCATTTTTAACACTTACTATGCCATTTCAAACTCTTCCTCTTTTTTCTTATCTCCAACTTGTCATCCCCTTCTAGACTACACTTCACATTAGTCTTATAAATTTTTTGTTAAATATAAATCCTGGAAAATTGTTCGTTGGAAAAAAATTTTCTTCGCTGTTCACGTCTTCTTATCACTCATACACTGATTCATTTTATTACTAAGTGATAATAACACTGCCGTCTTTCGTCGACTAACACTGTGTGTATAAACCCCACTAAATAAATGTACTGCTTTGAAATGAAGTTTTGAAATGAAAAGAGATCTCTTTGGTGACTTATATGTTCATGATTACAGAACAGAAGTATTACTTTATATGATTTATTCATTACTTTGAGTGTGGTTATAAAGATTGTGTTGGTGTGATACAGAAAATGGGTTCCAACAGAATATTATTCTCACAGTAAGAATTATTGTATTTGTTGTTTTTAACGTCTCAATACTATTCCGATAGTTCACTAGTGCATTAGCCATGGAATGCTTTATATATTTGAACATTCTATTTCATGTCGGTTAATGTAAACCAAAGTCACAAGCTTAGCGATTGGTTAAAGAATATAAACTGCATAGATATAAAAAGCTGTTTGATAACTTGAAAATATACCTTGGCTTCTGTGTCTTGTGCCTTTTGCTGTTATTATTATTATTGCTCCCTTGGGTTCCTAGTGGAACATAGGGCTTCAACTGCACGTCTCCATTTTCTTCTGTCTTCTGCTATACTTTTCGCCTGCTTCCATGTTAATCCATATTCTTTCAACTCCTCTTCACACGATCTCCTCCATGTCACCCTTGGACGTCCCACACGCCGCCTCCCTTTCGGGTTCCACTCGAGCAATGGCCTGACGCGCGATGTCACCCAGCGGTGTCCTCAACGAGTGACCGATCCATCTCCACTTTCTCCTGCATATTTGTTGGGCGATTGGTTCTTGCTTTGTTTGTTCCCATAATTCCTTGTTGGTGATTCTTTCCGGCCATCTGATCTTCAGTATTGAGCGAAGACAGTTGTTAATAAAGGTCTGCAGCCTTTTGGAAATATTCTTTGTGACCCGCCAAGTTACAAGATAACAATTTCTAGGTGAATAGATCAGCTATTCCGTGTTATCGAATGTTATTCAAGGAATGTCCTTACTGCACTGTCTGGCGTAGATTTTAACCTTTCTCACTTGTCATTTACCTTATTAACAGATGATTTAAATGTTTTGTGAAATCACCACTGCATTGTCAACTCTGTTTCTTAATTTCACTTTATTTCTGTGTTAGGTCACCTTCACTGAGCAACGCTTTGTTGTGACCAGCTTTTTTTGTGAAATGTACCCTTTGATTACTGGTAGGCCATGGGCAGATTATAATCGCCTAATGATGATATAAATATGTCCCTATATGTATTTCTCTCGCGCGCACTGATGTTAGACAAGGTGAATTCTAAGTAAAAGATGCATATTAGTTGACTGAAGTCATTGAGTCATGCTTCATTACTGCCAAATAAGCGTCTTTCTGAATTAACTATACTGGTTCAATAGAGATTAAGTTGACAGAAAGTTACGAGTATTGATATGAAACTATAGAGCCATGCATGGATGCATACAGAGGCTTCAAAATGATCATAATTAACTGTTTTATTTGTCCAAACCATCTTCGATACTTTATTTTTTTTATCGATCTTTATTTACAGTATACAAATCACTTCTATGTAAATGCTAAATTGGGTCAACATTTGCGAATTAGTGTTAATTCATAAGACATTTTTAAAATATTTCCATCTGAATATTTCTACGTACTGTTTGCATTCTGAACAACAGAAATATCAGTCAATTCGCATGTCTACTCTACTTATTCATTACTTTATTATCTTTTGTGTTTTTAATCGAATAATCATTATGTATTATTAGTATCGTCCATATTATATTTTTTATAATTAATTGTATTCCAGACTGTTACACACATTTACTTCTTGTTTTTATCCTGTTAGAATTACTTATATCTAATGGTCAGAAAAACAGATTTATCTTTTTTATCGCTAATATTCTATTCTTTATAATGTTTAGCATAAAGTCGATTATGTGATTCACTTCGCTGCTTTGAAATCTGTGTCAGAATCAACGGAACAACCATTACAGTATTATGAAAATAATGTTGTGGGTTTACTGAATTTATTAAGGGTTAGTTGTTGTTTTTATTGCATTTATTAATTTAACCAATAACATGTATGAGCCACTGTTCCTTGTCTATACCACATTGAGACTAGGTCAGTTGACTTACATGCATGAAATTTATGCCAGATTTCTCAATAATATTGGCTTTTTTGTTGTTGTTGTATTGTTATTTGAGGACTTCTAAATGGTATCCTTTGATTTTTAAAGAACATAGTATTGTTGACTGAAAGCCTGTTTTGGTTTCTGTACTTGCGTTCCTGCGTTTAGATGAATATTTTTCTCCTCTTATCTAAATAAAGGTTATGTATATTGGAATGCTTTTCTGGCATTCTCCATACTCAGTGTATATGCGCGATTACTTAAGCTTATCTGCTCTGACTAGTAATATTTATGTGCAATGATCTTTAGCTCGTCGTTTTAGACGTTCCATCTCCAGCTCTTTGGTTACTAGTTCGATTCTCTCGATTTCCTTTTTTAAGCAGTAGAATTGGATTGCTAAATTGCCTGCAACAGGTATGCTGTACTACCTAACATATTGAATCGTAATACATTTTATTTATTGACTAATGAATTTAGTATTGTGTGTTTCAATATCACCTGTCTTTGCAACCCAGTAATCCTTTCACTTTCAGTTTACAGTTGATTCACTCCTTCGCTTTAAACAGTTTATTTGTTTCACTACTTGAGATGAGTAGCCTACTTTGAAAGCTCTTCAGATCGTCAGTCAAAGTTTTGGCTGTCCCATTTTACTCAAAATTAATTGACAATTATTTTTTTACTATTCAGGTGATGGAATCACACCATGTTAAGAATATTGTTTTCTCCAGTTCAGCCACCGTTTATGGGGAGCCTCAGTTTTTACCATTAACTGAAAAACATCCTATAGGCAATTGTCAAAATCCATATGGTGGTACGAAATTTTGCTGTGAAGTTATTCTAAAAGTAAGTCATTTTCCTAAAATTAACCTTGCATTCTCCTTTAATTCATCGAGATTACTTTTCATCTGAATTACGAGTGATATTTAAATAAGTGTATCAAGACATAATATCGATTTATCAATCAATTATGATCCCTAGAAGTACGATCTCGTCGGTAAGACTCTCACTAATCACGCAAATGGTCCGGGGTTCGATCCCCTCCTGACGCACTGCTTAACCCCGCTAAATTGCTAGTAAGTCCGATAAAGAGGGAATGTTAGGCGTGAAGCTGGCAACCCCTCCCACTCCGTAGAAATAAATCACTGCTACTGGAACTTCGCACCGATGTGCGGCAGTTCAAGTCGCCACACTCCATGTAGCACACAAAGCAAGAGAAGAATGTAGAAGAAATGCATAATAGTGACAGTAAACAGAGGTGTGAGACAAAGAAATAGCAGTAACGAAGAACAATGTAGTTTCATTGGAAATCATAAGTCACAAGGAGTGGATGCATCTACCCCAGCCGTTGAGAAACATTTTGAGCCACATCACCAATTGTTTCCAATCATTGGTTTTTACCGTCCCGAGGACCCCAACCAGAAAGTCTACACCTTCGTACGTGACTTAAACTACCTATTGTAGATTTCATTGACTGGTACCATGTTTTCGTTTGACCGCCGCTAGCTCTTTTCCAGCCTGACCCTATGTCAGCTAACATTGCCCATTGTCGAGGAAGGCGATGACTAGGCAGACGTAACACATGTCCTAATCATCTCAGTCGATTGATTTCCCCTCCTTACCTAGCATTCAAACCTAACCTCAATATTGCTCACACACGGGAGATAGAGCGCAGGCACCTATGATCGAAAACAGCTAATTTTTCATGTCTTCCACTCTGAATGGCCAGGCCTCACAGCCATAAAGGAAGACGGAGCGGACTGCTGAGCAGTACACCCGCCCTTTGGTCGATAGCCGAATATCACGTCTACTAAGCCAGAGACGGCGTAAACTGGCATATGCGAAACTAGCCCTCTGTATCCGTGCTGAGATTTCGTTAGAGATCAACCCGTTGGGGCTGATGGTACTTCCTAAATAAGGGAAGCGGTCAACCAGTTCTACCACTTCACTTCCTATTTCTAAACTAGAAGGCAGTGTAGTCCAGTTCTGTAGCATTATCTTACATTTGGCAGGAGCGAATCGCATGCCAAACTTTCGTAGATTGCTGCTCAAGGTGTTCAGAAGACTCTGTATTTTGTCAGCGTCTTCATCTGGAAGGACTCTATCGTCTGCATATTCTAAATCAACAAGATTATTTCCTGGTAGCAAGTCAATCACTGAGTCTCTGAAGTGAGTTAAGTCCATTAGTACATCTATAATGAAATTGAATAGAAATGGAAATAATGGGCATCCCTAACGGTCACCACTTCAGGTGACAACTCGTCGTAAGCCCTCACCTGGCTGCATGAGTTCGAGTAGAGTGCCTTGATCAGTGTAATGTATTTTCCCAACATTCCCTTTACAGCCAAGCATCGCCAGAGAACCCCTCGGTCGACAGACTCGAATCCCGCCTTTAGGTAAAGAAATATAATGATTGTTGGACGCCGGCAAGAATGCCTATGTTCTAGAATCTGTCGGAAGGTGAAGATATGATCAATACACCCTCTCCTTGATCTAAAGCTTGTCTGGCTCTCTCGTGTTTGTGTCTCCCGAGCACCACTTAGTCTACGAAACACTATTGAGCCTAGGACTTTAGATACCAAATTAGTCAAGCTAATCCCTCTGTGATTATCACAGGAAGACTTGTCTCCCTTCTTGTATATGGGGATAATCAGTGACTTACACCAACCCGATGGGACTTCTTCTGATTCCCAGGCGCTGCCTTTGTACCTTAGTTAACGCAGACAGTAAACTGTCTCCACCGTACTTAAATACCTCTGGAGTCATTCCATCAGGTCCCGCTCCTTTGCCTTGTTTTAGATTAGTGACTGCTTTAGTAGCCTCAGTTAAGGAAGGGGGATCTGTGTCTATTTCCCATTCAGGGAGGTGTTGGATGTTCGGCAGGTTGAGCGTGGCTGTGGGCCAATTAAACTGCTCCTCATAGTGTTCTTCCCCAGTCGTCTATCCTGGGGGCTAATTACGGTTCCATTTTCCCCAGAGATTGTTTCACTTATCATTTGCCTTTTACCACCTGTTTCCCTGATAAGCCTAAATAGTTGTCTGGTGTTACCAATCGCCGATGCTTTTTCCATCTCTTTTGCTCTTGTCGGCCACCACTGTTCACGGTCGTTGCGAAGACTTCTTGTTAGTTTGCGTTTGAGTAGCTTTCGCTCCTCATCATAATCGGGGCTCGCCGGAATCAGTCTTCTTGCGTCAATCAGTTCGGATGAGGCGGTAGAGATCCAATGGCTCTTAATAACGTTTGCTTTTAGGTTATTAACACATTTTACAGCTGTGTCCACAACCAACTGTATGTTGTACCAGGCTACCTCAGATGAAGTCCTGCTGTCGACCTCAGAAACTCGTCTCGCCATTTCTTCCTTAAACAGGGACTCAGTGTCTCGATCTAATTGGGGACGTAACTGTCTCGCTGCCGTCAATTTCTTATGTCCGTTTAGTCACAGGCATAAACGTGCGCGAATCAGAGCCTTATCAGAGTTTACGCACGTGTTCTAATAAGAGCGGCAGTCTTCTACTGACCCTCGCCAACGATACCCTATCGCTATGTGGTCTATCTGAGTCCAGTGTTGATTTCGTGATGGAGGTCGCCAGGTTACACAATGTCTCTCTTTGTGCCTAAAGTTAGTGCTAACTAGGAACAAGTGATTATCTGAGCAGAACTGTAGAAGACGATCACCGTTGTCGGTTCGTCGGCAGGGAACTCCATACGTACCACCTACATACTTCTCAGTCTGGAATAACTTCCCTACTTGGGCATTGAAGTAGCTTGCTGAAACAACTATATCTGAGCATTTCGCTTTTTGCAGCAAATTAGACAGTTTCAGGTAGAAGTCATCCTTTGGTTCATCCTAACTGCAGTCTGTTGGGGCGCAAGCGGGGACTACGAAAAGGTGACGACGGATAGCACCGTCTTTCCTTCTTTTGACGAACCCATTCAGACGGCCCGCACACATACGATTATATACTGGGATCCAGTCAAGAAATGATTCTTCCGCCCTAAAACTCAGTGCTATCCCTACATCTGCGAGTCTTCGCGAGCTGGCTGAGGGTCTCCTGACGCTCTTTAAGTGAGTTTTGCAGATTTACCTTGTTGTCCAGATGAGGTTAAATGAATGACCACACTTAGGTCTTGTATGAGTGTCTCCGAAACACAACATACATCTATGGCTCGAGATGACAGAGTTCTTGCTAGTGATGCTTGTTGTCTGATTTGGCAGATGATCGTGACGTTAAATGCTCCTATATGAAGTTGGCGACGTGGCTTTAAAAGGTTATCTGGGGTATTCCTATGGCTCTCACCGTTGTTTGTGATCAGACAGTGAAGTGAAGATGACTCACTAGCTTGCAGAATAGTACTAACTGTACTAGAGGAGCAAGATGAGGAAGGTGATGTGAGTAAAGAAGAATGATGCTCAGGAAGGCTTCGTGTGCTTTTGGAAGTGGAAGTTGATTAATTCTGCGGGTACCTGAAACAGAAAGAGCGTTGCGTAACCGCAGAGCCCAGGGGACAACTGCTTGAGGCTGGTCACACACGGCCTGTATGAACTGGCTTTTAGGTTTGGTTCCGTATTACTTACTTACCGCCAGTTACGGACCACCGTAGGGTGAGTCAGGATGTACAATTTTTGAGGTCAACCTTTTCTAACCCCTTCTCTCCGGAGTGGAGAGACAGCAAAGCTGGAATGCTGGTCATCTGAGGGAAACACCTCACTGCTGTTACACCTCTGTCCCCGAGCAGTACGACTTCGCCCACAGATCCCCAGCATAGTGTAAGAAAGATTCTTACACTAAGCCGGTAACTGCTTTTAGCCTAATCGCTATCCTAATAACCTTCCTGGCATGGTAGAACCCACAGGAACATGGGTTCCAGCCAGTGTAGTTTGTTGGGTCATCGTGATTTGCGAGCCCGATCACCACGTCAAGGTATCAGCTATCGGTCGGGGTTCACACGTTTACAATAAATAAGGATTTAAAAAAATCCTATCAGTCCCTTTTTAACAGGTTTTCGAAAAACATTTTTTCACTGTTAATGGATAAATTTTGAATGCCAGTTAGATACATTGTCCATTTGTTCAGCCTGTGATATTACCTTAATTTTGGTTTTTAAACTAATAAAAGCCTGTCTTTCTCAGCCGGCTATTTTTTAAAAACTTCCTCTTAGTTGAATTTAAAAGACTTGGATTTCCTAGAAAGCGTTGTCATAGAGGTGATTGAGCAATTAATAATTCTAAACAGTGCACTTGGTGAGAGTTTTGTTGTCTTTAAAGTGAAAAAAGTTTTTGTGGTCGAAGAAAAAATGTTATCCCTAAGAACAATCACATGGGTGGAATGTGCGATTTCGGCGACCAATGTTTTCTACGCTTTTCTTCTTGAAGGTGGAATCCAGCACATCTGGACTCTTGCGTGCCTGAGGAAAATATCTGATTGTGGTCACAGCTCTTTTTGTCAACAGTGTACCACTACACCTTCAAAATCCCGTCACAATTGAAGCTGCTTACATTATGACAAAAACTATTTTTAGTCTAACAGTTATGTAGTCGGTTTTTCTAGATTTATAGGATATATGCACAAATAACTGTCAGGTTGATAGTATATGCAGCTCTGGCAAATGTGTCAATATGGCAGCTTTTCACATGTGTTTGTGTTTAGTAAGTACCTTGGAATTCATTTTCATCCAAGTGAAGTGAATAAGGTGTTTTTACAACTCTTATTAGATTTCATAAAAGAAGGTTTATTTCTATCGCTTAGATTAACTTCAGAAACTTCAGTTACATTATTCCTTTGTTTCTCTTTTTTTTCAATTTGTAGTCGTTTATACATGCATTTATGTATTATTTTTCTTTTGGTCTTATTTTATATAGGATTTATATGAATCTGATCACTCATGGAATATTATAAGTTTACGTTATTTTAATCCAGTCGGTGCACATTCCAGTGGATTAATTGGTGAAGATCCCAATGGAATTCCAAATAATCTAATGCCTTATGTAACTCAAGTGGCTAGTGGTTTGAGACCTACAGTTAATGTTTATGGAAATGATTATCCAACTGTTGATGGAACAGGTAGTTACATTATTCTGGTTAATTTAGAAACGTAAATGTATGAACACAAAGTAGCTTTCTCATTTTGTAAATATGTTTCTAGAAAGCATTGTCAACTTATTAGCGAAGGAGACTAGCCAAAAAGTTTATTTGTTACTGTCATTATTGCATTTCACATTTACTAATGTTCACTGTATTACTACATCATCCATTGTTCAGATTAATAGTCAGTGACAGCCTGTTGGTTACCATAACAAACGAAAATTCAAACCAAATATCTTTAGATAGCTATAATGCCTTTTGAAAAAGAAAGAAAGATTTATAACTAAGTGTTAACAGTTTCTTTAAATTATTTTCATTAAAATTACTCTTTGTACAACTTTCCCAATCTGCTACAGTAAAGTTGGCTTAATTTTTCAAGTTGGTGTGTCCAACCACTCATCGTTCACATCACCAGTGTTAATGCGAAATACTTGAAGTTTCTTTTCTTACTTAAATTAATTCGATGGTGTATTACATTTTATTTGCTGTTACTGCTGATGAATTTTTTTTTTGAACAAAGTATTGACTGTAAATCACTTCTCCTTTACATTATCTTGATCGTTTTCTCTCTGTTTCCAATGATCTAGGTGTTCGTGATTATATTCATATTGTTGATTTGGCTGTAGCACATACTATGTCATTAAATAAAATAAAACAGAATTGTGGTTTAAAGGTATGTAGCCTGTATATAAAAACTTCTTATTATAATATTAGAAAGTCTATCTATTTTTTGGTGTAATTGTCCTCTCTGAGTTGGATGGTTTATTCTCAAAGCTTTCATAGTCTCTCTAGACAACATCTTCAGCTGGAACTTCAATATGAAGAGAATTTCTTTGTCACACGGCAGAAAAGTCAGATTCTGAGTCATTGAGACTGTCGAAACAAATACAGATTAACAACCAGTCGCAACCCAGATCATCAACGGAGACAATTATATCATTCATGAGGAATGCAAGAAAGCTCATATCATGTTGAAGATTTCTAGAAAGATAATGAAAGCTTCGCAATAATTTCATCCATCTCAGAGAACATATAACCACACCAATAGCCCCCATCCACCTCCGACACAAATCTTCCTTATCGTTTCTGTGTATATGTTCCAATATACTGAAGATATGACCACAACATCTGTGATGTAAGAAATACACGAAGAACAAGTTACAGTCACTTGTAGATTCTTGCGTGACTTTAATAATACGTGGTGTCATTTTTTCCTCTTCAAATGTTATGTGTATATATGAATGTTTGTTTTGTACATCTTGGAAACAATTCGACAGGTGATATTTATAGTAAATAGTAAGTGTATTCTGTCCATTTCGAATTAATTTCATCAACTAATTAATTAATCTATGAAAATAGAGACAAATGAATCAGTTAATGCTAGGATCCACTGTCTAGCACCTGTGCGTCGGTGGCACAGTGGTTAGGACTCTCGCCGACCATGCACATGGTCCGGGGTTCGAGCCCGCACCGACGCACACCTGATATCTATGGTCGGCCTGCAAAATTTGGGCTACCGATATCCACGCTGAAAATTCCATACTTGTACCGAAAATACAGTGTGGAATCAAGATGTAAATCAAAAATAAAAAAAATATATAGTCAAGTAAATTTTCCAGACAATTTCTAAGCGGATCACATCAGTTAGTTTATATATTCTTTTGAAATATATTTTAGTATGTTTTATCATATTTATAATATCATTTTATGAAAATATCTTGATGGTAGAGTTCACTATGGATAATGTTTGTTTTCATTTCTTGACATTGAACTAAACACTTTTAAATAATAATAATAAATAATAGTACTTACATTACTACTGAATTTACTAATAAAATCAATTAATTTAATTAGATATATAACTTGGGAACAGGTGAAGGACATTCCGTATTAGAAATGATTCATGCTATGGAGAAAGCAAGTAGCAAAAAGATTCCTTACATATTTTGTCCAAGGCGACCTGGTGATTGTGCAAGTGTTTACTCTGATGCGTCTTTGGCCCTACAAGAATTAGGATGGAAATCAAAATATGGAATTGACGTAAGTCAGACGAGTTATTATATATATAATGCATAAAATATGTTTTGTCATTAATTAATTGATGTATTCATAACCGAGCTTTTTATTTGGTAATCATGTCGGAGTAATCACACAACTGTATGATTATGTTTGATAAATTGTACTGGAAACATTATCTACTAAATAATCCTGTATCACTGTATTTACCAAATAAACAAACTGACATGGAATCATACGTTATCAGTGTCCTGATTTCACCCTTATATGAACTCCTTAATAATCCTGTAATAATGGAAGCAATGATTGTAAAATCTAGGTTAATAACTTTTCTTATCATTATCCATTAAGCAGTTATAAAAGGAGGAAGGAGCTGTGTTTTTGAAAACGATAATCATTTGAACTTACGTCTTCTCTTTTTTGTTGTATCCATGTTTTGTAGAAAATGTGTGAAGACATGTGGAATTGGCAAGTGAAAAATCCACAAGGCTATCTTACTCTTATGCATTCTAGTGATAAATAAATAAATAAATGACATATTCTCAGGTACCTTTCAATACTTGTTTCTACCTTGTTTTTCACTTTCTATTTTTCTTGTTTGATTTTAAATGATGTCATGTCACTGTTTTTTTTTAAAGCAACTGTATTTCGTATACTTTTTTCAAATCAAACTTGTCTCTCTATTTTTCGTATTTCAATTTTATTTATAAATAAACGGTTTGTGATATTTTGGCTGGCATTTTTATTCTCCTTTTTTTGGCTAGGTGCTTTTGTGTGAGTGAAGTGAAATCATTTCTAAACGTATATATGTGGTAGTTAGGTGCACTGCATAACTGTTTCCACGTTTCTGGCTTGAATTCAATGGATTAAGTAACTAATTTGTCGTAGTACTTTTAAGTAAATGTCTGCTGACTAACTAGCCTTTCGAAAATTCGAGCAATTTTTGATGTTTCATACTTAGAAACTGCAAGCGATCATTGTAGGTCAGGTAATGATTTTCTTGTTCACTATCAAAATTCGGTGAAGACTGTGACGTATAGTTCCCCTTCAATGCTATGTTAAAGACTGAAAAGCCATTACAAGGGGAGTTATTAGTGTAAGCCTAGGAGAGACCACGGGAATTTGTTAGTGTAGGTCTACTTTAATGAAATGACATTCAGTTATTGGTTTAGTCACTCTTAAATCTCAAAACGTTGCTTAAGCGGTTCAAACCTGTTATATGTGGATTCGAAGCTCAACTTGGTTCTCATCGTAACAGACAGTCTAGATAAAAGTGTAAAGTATGATGCCGGTGTCTATTCTGTAACCGGCTTCATGTATGTACAGCTGTAGGATCTAAGAACAGGAATTTTTCTCGTGCTGTGTGAAATCTACGTTTCGTCTTACTTTAGTTTCAATAACGCCTGCGACTCTAACCGTTTTTTCAGAAAAAGATGACAGTAGTTATGGGTCTGTGCAGTTGTAGGGGACCAAAAAATTCGTCATTTCAATTGAATCTTGGCCATTTCTTTTCCAGCGGTCAAATTGTTTGTCCGTGTTAATTGAATCATAATGCGGACAATTGAATATACAAGGGACAAGAGCAAGAGTGCAGCTGCTACTTTGTAGTGTGATTGTGTATCCCTATATTCTTTTTCTACTGTCGTTGTCTGGACGCCGTCACGTTTGCACAGTCCGTCGCTGTGCTGACTACAAACACACTCTTTGAGCTTGCTATTCGGCATCACTTCAGATAAGTTATACAATATTCTTACTTATTAAATTTTACATTTCACCTGTGGTGAAAACTGTAATTCTTATCAGGGCACACAGCTAAGTAACAAGCATTTTTACTTCTAGTTCATTAATCGGTACATACACGTTTGATAAACTACTGATTAGGGTATTGAGAGAAGTCTTTAGTAAGAGCGCTTAATTAAAGTCTACCTTAGGTGCCACCAACCACTTACAAATATATCACTCCTAATAAGGTAGTTAGTGAATCTATGAGACATCTACTTGTAGAACTAAACCTATCACAAACCATCAGGCTTTTTATCATCACTGATGTCAATTCTCGGCAGAAGTTGTTCATCTTTCTCCTAGGAATCGACTTTCGAGTATTATCCTGAAAGGAAAAGGAGAGAGTATCGTTCAATGCTCTATCTACACAGGATTTTATCCTAGTTTGGTATCGGATATGCCTTGCCCCCTCCAGCTGCCACTTCTTATTGGCTGGTAACAGTTGGTGGTTGAGATGGGTTAGACATTTCCCTCATGTCTGCTGGATGATGTGGTTTTAGTCGGTTATAATTGGCGGCGATGACGTCTTCTTGAAGTCGCTGCAATTTCCTCAGAAAATACGTGGTTGGAGATGGATGTGAGATGGTGTCAAAAAGCCCTCGTCATCAGGCGTAAAATGAGGGGCACGAGCAAGTAGGAACTGACAGCAGATAAAGCCAAGCGTAATCATCAACCGAATGGGTGGATCTGAGCGTGAGAGGATCATAAAAGACTGCAGATGAGTGCACACCAGGCGTTAGGCAACCTTCAGTTGGTTTTGAGACCTCGAACGTAAATGATACAATGAATTCCTTCGTAGTGTAATATTGGTGTAATGATTTTAACTGAAAGGCGGAGTTCATTGTCAAATAGGAATGGAGCGGTTGGAAACCACGTTGACGAGTTTACCAAAAAGATGTATGCAAGAAGCATTTAGGTAGAACGTCTTTTCATTTTTTCCAGTAAGTGACGAAGAAGGTGTAGCGGTAAATAATTCCTTAAAATTATTGACCACAGCAATCATCACTGAACATTGGATGCTGACACTCCCTGTTTAAGTCGACTTGTTCAGCTGAAAGCTTCCGGCCAAGCATCCATGCCATTTGGTACTCTGCCATGTCATATTCGTGCACGATCACTAGCCAGCTAAAGGTTCATCTCACAATACGTTTCGGTCCCGGAATATATCTCGTAATTTGGACGACCGATTCACTTGTTTTGGTTTGCCTTTGGTCCATGAGAAACGAAAACTGTAGTTGTTGGCATAAGATCCTCTGTTAGTATACTCCGCACAGTTCACCAAAGTCAATTCCGTTAGCCTCTGTAAAGGGTCCGAAGTATGGTTTTCGTCGTACCTATAATACGTTCCCTTGGGAGTGATATAACGCAGTATGAATCATTCAACTGACGAAGGCATGACAGATCCGAGCAGTAAGTGGACTCTGAAAAGTAGCGGCTTGATCTGAATGTGAATAGAGGATGCGTCAACACGAAACATCCATGCGTTAAGCAATGTGCGCCCGATTGTTGCTTCATTTTGCTGCTGCAAGGGAACTGCTTCAAACAATTTGGTGAAGTAATAATCCATGAGAAAGACTTATCGGTAATTGATTTCAGGACATTTGCTCCCACCAGGTGGTTGCCGGGTTCAGTTAGGATAGGAACTAAGAGTGCCCCTGGTATTTGCAGAGGCTGCTTGATTTGGGCACATGTATCGCCGTTGCGGAGGAGTTGAGAGACGTCGTGATGAAGTAGTGACCACCAAAATCATTGACGGATGCCGTACCCGGTTTCTCGTTGGCCAGCGTGACCAGACTGGTTGTGTATGAGGTGAATCACCTCCTGACCATATGCAAGAGGAACGAGAAGACAGGGTGGTGAAGTTGGCTGCATTACATATAAGACACCATCTGTTGATCGCAGCACACCCTATTTGGTACAAATACAGTTTGTCATGTCGGATAATTCCCGTAGTTCTCTTTTGATGGTTTATCAATCCCATGGAGTTGGTAGGAGTAAGTAGGCTGGATACCAGCTACAGCCGGTTGTATTGAGGCTTATTCGAAATCAACATCCTTAATGATTAAAACACTTCCTGCTGAAACACAGATTGGCGGTCATAGAGAGGCATTAGCATTAGAATGTCGAAACCACGGCCGGTAGTTTCAAGTGAAATCAAACTCTCGTAAACGTTCCTGCCTCCTAGCCCACAGTTTTGAGAAGTGTTCAGAGCCACTGTAATGTGCGTATTCGGGAGGAGCATCCAACAAGGTAATCTCGAAAATGTCTGCGGAAATGCACGAGAGCAAGAACCTCCATTAATAATATATATTTCTTCCTGTTTATGCAGGAACATACCAATTGTACAGGCATGGATAAGTTATTATATAAATTACACATAATTTGATGTATGATGAATTTACAGTTTGGTTGTTCTTTCTGACATTAGAGTCAGTCGGAACAGTTGCTATAGAGTCTGCTTGTGTAGCACAAAAAGAGATATAGAAATATTGTCTTCGCATTAACAAAAAACCCAAACATCAGATGAATGTAATACAAATATCTGGGAAAAATAAAGCTTGAAGTCAATTCTCCTATATAACTTTGTTGTGAACAGCACGCTTGACTTAAAGTTTATTGATGTATTATGTTGAGATCAGTGATATATTTATTACATTTTTTCAGCAGTCTTATCGTAGTTTTGTAAGAGGAAAGAAATTTCATCGTGGATACGAAAACTAGATAAGGTTATGCCAAGTTGTTTTACTGCATCAAATGGTACCGAGGTCGGTTCCAGTATTCTCCATTTGCGCCATTTGTGTCTGCATGGCGGACTGTACACGTAAGTTGAGTAAAATGTTGAAAACTGTTTGAAAAACAGTTGCTTCTTCATTTCAGATCATGAATACTCATTTACAGCATGTTCGCCTGCGTCTTCAAATGGTAGAATTGGATCGTTCATGGAATTTGAGTGGTTATGAGTAAAATGGTTTGGAATCCATCTTCATTTCAGTTTAGATGCAGGGTTGTTCGACCTCGATCAGAAGATAAATTGAATAGTAGGCTCAGCAGCGGAATACCAGAAAGAGAAATTATGTGGACATGAATAGGACATTAATGTTATATGCATATACAAATGTTTATGTCGATTGTATATAATATTTTAGAAAACTTTCACCTATATTTTAGTTGTGTTTTGCAAAGACAAACTTTCGGCGCCACTAACAACCAATCAGCAAACGACCTTGAACGGACCAATCACAATAAATAGGCATTACGGTCTCCTTAAGCTGTTTTCAGAAGAAGGTGGAATCACCACTCTGATTGTCCCGCGCTACCTCGTCCCCCATCGTTTCAACTGTCATCAGATTACCCCAGATGGAAGAAACGCATTCAGGCATTCCTCAGCATTTCTCCACCAGCCCACCACTTCCTTCTATCCTCAATGCCCTATCGGAAGATGCATTCGCACGCGCCGATGCTTCCGGTTTCAGCAGCGCAAAGTCCATGATCGAAAATTGGAAAATTCTGGATAATTGTTTCGACCTCCAATTGGGCTACGAACACGCCCTTCTAAAGTTCTTCAATCGCAGAAAACTGCCCGGGGAGAGTCCCCTCGATTATTTCCATGCCTTACAACTAATGGCGGCGAGTGTGGACAATAACGCAGACCCGGAATACAGGGACCGCATGGTGCGGATATGTTTTACCGACGAGGCCTTACCCGATGACCTCCAAACAGACCTGATGCGACACCCTCCCACGAACATAATTGACTTACAACGGATCATGTCAGTCTCGTCTCATAAACCGTTAATGCCCAGCTCTCGCTACGCTCGGGCCCACGCTGTTCTTTGAAGATTTCAGAAACGCTTAGTTATAACGGACGCAAAAACCAAAACACCGATCTGCCGCTTGATATTTCTTTATTGTTACACCAACATATAAAAAGAATAACTGAACTAAGGT